TTTTGGTCAAAAAAATTGCATGCATAGCCTTATGGAGGATTAGAGTGCTGCTGGGGGCTGGGGGAAAAACAAGCTGGGGTTTTTTGCTCATTTCTGCTCTCCCAAGCCCCCAGCTCCCTGAAAGCCTCCATAAGGATGATGCACGGCCATTTTGGTGAAGGGGTGGGGCTTCAGGAGGCAAAAAAATGCTGTATTCGGTGTATAAGACGCACCCAGATTTTCAGCCTCTTTTTAGAGAGAAAAAGATGTGTCTTATACTCCAAAAAATACGGTACCTCAAATCTCTGATTTCTTACCATGGCTGTAGTTTAATAAATCTTAATTTAACTTATAGGTTATTATCCTTGTATAAGCAAATTCTTTGTTCTATTTCCATTATAATCTGAAGTGGAGTATTTGTGGACTTCCAGTTTTTGGGCTACATTGCATATGATTCCCAGTCAACATGATTTAGGGAACTGTAGATTAGGAACATCAGGAAACATGTAGGCTCCCCATTTCTGATACCTTTTGCTTGAATTTTCCATCTGCTAAGGTTCATTTGTCTAGTTGTATTGTGTTGCTTCTAGCATATACGCCTTGATAGCTTAGATTTTCAGAACCCTTTTAACTGGTTCTTAGCTAATATGGAGACTACTTCTCACACTATAGCCAAATACTAGAGATACTGGCACTATATAATGGCTTAACACAATTTTTATTAGAAAAGTTATACATAACAGCAACTATTTTCAAGAATATTAACCTTGAAAAGCAACAAAAATGGACTAACAATCTTTAACAAGAAACTAATGACCTTCTCTATAATCAAACATTCAAGTTATCTACAATGTTTCTTTGTACAAAGGGGGGAAATCATGGTTGTACAGGCACATCATGTCAAAAATAAAGTTGCAGTAGCTATTTTATACAATTATCTTGTCTCAAGGGTTATTAAAACATCGCAAATTTTAAAACATTCACATAATTTTACACTTGGGCATATACTGAATCTCAGTCCCAAACATTTAATCATTTCACAAAGTGCCAACATTTAAAATCAGAACCTTTAATATTTTTTAAAAATTTTTGCTAAGAAATGTTAACATCTATCCATCCACATTCACATGATTTCTGATTTGGCCTGATTCTAGTAATAATAATAATAAAGTCTTTATTTTAAAAAAAATAGTAAAAAACCAAACGGGGAGTTGTTTGAAAAGCTATTCAGTGTCCATTATTGGAAAACACCCCATTACAAAAGCTGTAAAGGTAGCCAGGTCTATTAATACTTATTACACAACAAGATTACTTTTAATAAATGCAAGTTTACCTGCTTCTAAAATATACATCTGAAGCCTGTTGTCTTTTTAGGGCCAATGCTGTCCCACATAATTATTAGTTAATTTATACAAATTTATTTTGCTCAAACTCTTGAGACCCACCTAGTTATCAGCTTCCAAAAACCAAATTACTTATAATCTACATGTATGACATTTCATGTACATACAATCCTCTAAGAAAGGTAAACGTTTGAAGAGGTTTAATCTGAAATGAGGAAAAGCTTAATCAAACTACCCTGCCCCATAGCTATGTGATGCCAGAGGTGGACCACTCTGAAAAGGAACGTAACATCTACTACCAGAAATGTTTTGCACATGAAGCAAGCCCCAATTTTTTAAAAAAGCAGTTTTTTTCTCTATGGGTTCCCATTTGCATTTAAGTCCTAGAGCTGCTTCAATTATTCTATAGAAAACATGGCACAGCAAGGACTCCTGCCTACTAGGCACTGACATTCACCATGGCAGCTCCAAAAAGCACCATTTGGTAGTAGGAAGATGACCAACACTGATGCTAACAGCGGGCAGGCAAAAATAACTCATACAGGGAAGAAAGCTCAGAATGTTAGGTCAATTTGGCAAATCAGTCATGAAATAAAAAGTTGGCCACTATTGGGTCTTCTGGAGTTGATTAAAATAATATCCTGGTTTATTAAGATATTGAAAAAAATCATTGGTCATAGTTAAGATGCATCATTATTGCACAAATCTGCTTTGAATTGGGATTTTTTGTTTTAAAAAAACACTCTTCATGAAGATCCTTGAGTACTTTCTCATCTCTGCGATTGGAATTCAAGTCATCCAGTGCAGAAAGGTTACTAGAAATGCAGAAGTGGTAAAAGATAATAGAAACCCCTCCCCAGACAGAAAAAATCAATTACTGTACATTGACAATGAAACCTACATTTCTTCCCTTATGGGCCCTGCACATGGGAAAATGTGTGAGCATTAATGACGCTAACTATACAGTAAGCCAACCATTCAAATAATATGGAATCTGGGACCAGGAGTTGCAATGATATCACTATATGGTTCTTCCTGTGTCAGCTCGATAGCTTGTTGCTTTTTCAGTACCAAAAAACTGTAGAATTTTGCTGCTGCTTGTTTGCGGTTTGTATTCCGACACAACTCAAGCAAACTGATAGATTTTGCTCCAGTCTTGGCAAGGGCTCTCTGAAAATACAAAAAAATAGTTAACCATTATAATTTCCGACTCTCAATCTAAATGTTTGTTAATGCCAAGCAACCACAAGAGAACTTATAAAATGTTCATTACTGGAAGAGCTCCTATAACCAGTTACAGCCTGAAAAGCTTAGATCAGGGGTGTCCAACCTTGGCTATTTAAGACCTGTGGACTTCAACTCCTCAATCAACATAGATGGCTGGGGAATTCTGGAAATGGAAGGCCANCAATTACTTGATGTCCACTGAACTTGAGCAACTTGTAAATTCAAATAAAAGTGTTTGTTGATATATGTTCTTTCTTTAAATATTTACATGCGACTCATCTTAAATCAAATTCTAGGTAGTTCATAGTCCAAGAATAAAAAAACATGTATAAGCAATAAAATAAACCAAAAAGATGAAATAGATGACATAATGAAATCATACTTGATGCTTTTTTTTTTCATTTCTTAATGCCTTTCAGTTCATACATATATATTTAATTTCCTGGGAATATATTTAACTTCCTCCATGTATATTTCAAGAAATTTCATTCCATCTTAAGAAATAAAGGCAATCATTGCTTAGCCTTGCAGTTGTGGCATCCCCACAATCATGTGATCATGATTTGGATGTTTATCTGGAATTAGTTGGATTCTACCTTAATTCCAAAAAGACATTGGTACCTACCATTTATGAGTAGATTTGATTATAGATGTAGACTTTTGATATAATTAAGCTTGTTAAAAATGCAAAATAAAGTTTGTGTTTCTTTTTCTTACCATATTTCCCTTTTAGATGTGTGTTAAAAGAATTGGAATGTTTGGGGAAACAGTTGTATGGTGCAAAACTAATTGCACAGAGATCTCAACTTCGCAACTGCTCTCATTTCAAGAATCCAGTGAGTGGTTCAGACTGCCTATTGTCCATGATTGAGGATGGTAACCCACACCATTATTTCATAGCTACACAGGTAAATTTATTACACTTGAACATATTTGAATAAAATATCCTACCTGTGACCTGAATTAAAAATATTCATTTTCTTCTACATAACTTTGAATAACTGTGTCATTAGACTTTGTTCAGATTTCAAGAAAAAACCCTCTTGCTGCAGTGAATTCATTACTTTCCAACTACTTATCTTTCATTGTTAATTTGCTGTCCTACTTGTGTTACATTTACATACAGTGATAGCTATTTTACAGCTGTTATACTTACAATATTAGGTTAATTATATTTCAAAAAGTTTAATTAACATTTTAGCAAATCATGGGCTGAGGGGATATAATTAGGTTTTTTACATTTTTCTGTGAAGTGTATTGTGTAGTTTGCACTCACCTGCCCTCTGGAACGAGNGACAGACAGACAGACAAAGACAGGACAGACAGTTCATTTAACCAGCAGTCCACTGGGCCCACCAGCCTTTTAAAAGTGATTATGAAGTGAAAAACTTCAAGGGACAATCCTTTCAATCCCCCACCCACCCCCAATTTCGTCCTTCTCCATATATTGAGATTGCAAGTCCCCGAATTCTCTTCCAGCATGGTTATAATTATTTTATTCGTTTTGGAAATGCACAAGATTTTCTTTTGCTGCAAGAGGGGAGGCCGCTGCTCTTCAGAAATGAATCTAACGCTTGCCAATGTCAGAGCCGAATTAATAGCCCAGTTTTAGATAATGTATCTGATCCCAAATGTACAACAGAATGAATAACGCCAAATACTAAAAATACGAAAATAATACTTGCTCTGCTTTTATTACCAACAAAGGTATACTCTTAAAACTTTATTTTGAATGTAGAATGCATGGCGGATTTTTTTTAAATGAGCACTTTACAACTTTCTGCGCCCAACAGCTTCGATCCGAAATTTTTGCAGCCTGGTTCTTAACTGTTGTCAGAACTATTCCCCACGTGTTTCAGGCAGGAAGACACTGCGCATGCGTCAGCGTGGTCTCTCCTTCCGTTGGACGAATCTGCCAAACTTCCGGTAAAGGAAGAGAGACGGTTTTGCCTGCTTTAGTGAGGTCTTCTCGTATGTTTACGCTCCTTGGGCTCCCGTTATGAAGATCACCCGGCAGAAGCACGCCAAGAAGAACATGGGCTTCTACAAATACAATTTTGGTTTCCGGGAGCCTTTCCAGGTGCTGCTGGACGGCACCTTTTGTCAGGCGGCGCTGCGCAACAAGATCCAGATACGCGAGCAGTTGCCGGGTTACCTGGCCGGAGCCACGCAACTCTGCACGACGCGGTGAGGGAAGTGGGGGGATGGGGCGGGGAGAGTTTGAGGGGAGAAGCGCGCCTCGATTGGCTGCTAGGGACAAGTGACAGGAGCGCGAGACATGACTGCGAAACAGCGCACGCGCGCTCGGTTCCTAGGATGGCGCGAGCTCTCCCAAGCAGCGTGGCCTGGGATTGGCTGATAGGAGAGTTCTGCGCGACGGGGGGNGTGAAAACAAAAGGCAATAGCAGTGACAATAGTATGCATACCACATAGAAAAAAATTAAAATTTACCAGTGATATCAATGGGCTCTAAAGCAAATGCTTCTTCTTCATTTGGAACCAGTGTTGTCTGATCAGTCATGGTTGGCAAGGGTTCCACTGGATCTGCAGAGTCTGGGCTATCTGGTCCTCCCACTGTGAATTAGAGAATGAAGTAAGTTTTTGAAAGCATTTTGGAGCCACAATATAAAATACAAGTCAAAGCCTCCAAAATTATCTTCCATGGGCTAGAGTCCCTCTCTGGGTCCTTCCTGGATAACGAGCTATGTTGGCACAAAGGTTAGAATGCAGTACTGCAGGCTACTTCTGCTGACTGCTGGCTGTCTGCAATTTGACAGTTCGAATCTCTCTAGGCTCAAGGTTGACTCAGCCTCCCATCCTTCCAAAGTCGATAAAATGAGGACCAATTGCTGTGGACAATATGCTGATGCTATAAACAGCTTAGACAGGGCTGTGAAGCTGTATAGAAGTCTAAAGGCTATCGCCTCATTCTGTGCCAGCTGAGAATGCTTATTTGTCATTGGCTTGCTTCAATGGTTCCACCCCCACCCCCTTTTGATAAAGGTTAGGAGTGGGTACATAAATACCTAGAGTCAATTACATTTGTTTTTTCCAAGGCTCTCTATAGGCATTTTTATCCTAACATATTAATATGAACCAGAACCTAACCAATCCAGGCGGTAACAGGTTAACTTTTCTATACAACTACACACTGTATCCTCATTTTTTAGTTATTCCTTACAGTCTGATGTTTTTTACTCATTTATTATTCCATTGTACACAATTCAAATTGAATTTGTACATTTTTCTTTGGGACTTGTAAAAACTGCTCCTTTTTAATATATGCAAGTATTCCTGATTGCTTCAATATTTTCTTCGATTCATAATGGGCCACTGGTCCTATCTCTACATACAGTATATGGGAATATTTAAATTATAAGGAAAATGGATGAAATCTCCCAACCATTTCTATTCTGATGCCACATCCTTCACCATACTAAAATGTTCTCGCAATGTGCAGGGGATGGGCGATAATAGGATGAACTATAACTGGGGCTAAGATGGTGACCAAGGAAAGGTGAGCAACTGGCAAGCACCATTTTCCACTGATGAAATATTGATCATAAAAACCAGTTAGGATGAGAAAAAAAAAGAGTAAAGCTAATCCCTGACTCTGAAAGTACCAACTTTTAATTGCTGTCTTGATTATGTCTTGCCCATAAGATAGTCCCTTAACAATTACTGGCACAATATTAATGATATAGAAAATGTTAGTCTGTCAACCATGCCATTTCATCCATGAAATGCTATCGTTGACAGAGCACTTTCGAAAATGAAATACAACTGTTTAAATATTCACTTGAGGCATTATCATCATCATCCAAATCATCATGGGGAGGTTGCTCCGGCAACATTACTCCCACTTCTGAAAGCGCAGGTGGGTCATCAAATATTCCTTCTTCAGTGTTGCTGAGAAGTTTGTCAACTGAAATAACAAATCAAGAAGGTAAGGCTAGAAGCATAAATCTTGAATCAAAATATAAGACTGTCCTTGCTACAACAGCATTAAAAGACAGTACTTTTTCAACAGACTATCTACAACCATGAACTTCTTGATGCTCTCTGAGCTTATTTGTAGACATTACATTACGCAACTAGATAACATCAGAGCAAAGGTGTGTGGAGTTTGCCGCCTATTTATACATAGTAGGCTTGTCCTATTAGGTTTGGTGGAAGTGTGATTTCTCCCTTGATGGTTCTGTGTGAAAAAGGGTCTATTTATTTGAAAGATGTCATTTAATCAAAAATATTTTCGTTCATATTCATTGCAGAAGAATGAAGACATATCAAAGAGGATGATTTTTCCCCAATGAAATAAAGAAACATTTACATATAAACATATAAACATTTACATTGATGAGTAGGTGTACTGTTATGAGAAATTAATATTGAAAGAAGTTTAAATGGCTGTATAAGAGCATATCCCTGCCAATCTTATATGGAGACCTGGGAAGATCAGGGGAAACATAAAAAGTCCTCCTCCTTACAGATAGTTCTCACTTACTAATGGTAATTGGGACTGAGAACTCCATCGCTAAGTAACACTGTCTAATACGTCAACTTATGACAACAGTTCCAATAGTCCCACTTGCCATAGTTCCCTTTATGGATATATATTTTAAAAAGCTATGTTGCCCCATGAGAAAAATAAACCTACATCTTTAAACTTTTTTTACTAAATTCACAGCCATTATTGTAGTTAGTCAATGACTAATATCAACCTATATCTGTTTGCTTAACAATGGTTCAAATTAACCATGACCTTGGAAGTGGTACTTTATGGCAAGATACAAATTGATTACATACCCAGGATTCCACCATCATTTCCTTCTCCAAAATCATCCTTGTACTGGTCTTCATATTCCAAGTGATTAGATTTTTCATTAAGATGACTGGTGCTCTGCTCTGGCTCCAGCAGAAGGTTTGAAGTACTAGAGCTTACCAACATGTCATCTGGAAAAGCACTACCTTCTCTCATCATTTCACGATCATCCATGCCAAAGTCTCCTTTAAAATTAATGGGAAAAAAGAGACAGGGATCTTCAATTACCTGTTCTATATTATTTTTAACTGCAACATTATGTTGCTCTAATTTTTAATTTGTGCAAAGAGTATTTTTATGAATTGCAACATTCAATCCTTAAGATACTATCTTCTTCAGTTCATTTTGTTATTACTCATGTTTCATATTCTTTATTCCAGTTTCACTAATGTAGTAGTCTTATACAATATATAAATTATTCATATTCCTTGACACTGAATTTTTTTCTCCAACCCATGCTTATGAAATAATAGCTAACTACTTCAAATGTACAATCATCAGAACACTGTTATTGCCATTAGAATGTATATGCATATTTGGAAGATGTGCAAGTTTTTGTTTACATACAAAAGATTAACATTGTGAATTTATCACTTTAGATTCTGATTAAACTTTATTGCAGAGGTTCTGCAATAAGCTCATTGATTAATTCCTTAAAACAGATGCGGAATAATGAAAATTGTCCATGCTTGGTGAGCCACTATATTTATGTATTGTTTTAAAAACAAGAGATGGATCATTAAACACATTAACAAGACCCTGGCCACTGATTTTTATTATATGTTCTTGCTTTGGGAAATTTTCAATTAAAAATAGAGAATGAATGTTTTAATATATTACTTTCATATAATTACATTGACTGTAAAGATACACAAACAAATTGATCAAATGAATACAGTATGCAGTTTCTGCTGGAATAAACACTTCAACTTAATAGATCACTACGTAGCAGACTTCAAATCTGATGGGAGTAAATTTTCATTTGGGCATTCCCCAGCGTGTGAAATTGTCTCTCTGTCTGTCTTAAAGTTTGCAAGGCAGTTTTATCTTAACTTTATGACAAATATGTTTAACACTATTTACATAATGTATAAATATGCAAATCCATTCATATTGATTTACATATTTGCATAACAACACCATTACACAATTGAAGTATATTTATGCTAATGGCATATTTTGCCTCATATGCATAATGTCATTACTCAAAGGTCATAAATTGTTGCAATGTTATTTTTTTGTATTTAATGGACATTCAGGAATAACCAATGATGCTCCCAGAAATGGGCCATTAAATGAACTTTCACTGTGAAGTTTAATTGTTCAAGATCCTCAGCACTCTGTAAGCATTCCTCAAACCCAAGGAGAAAAAAAAAGCTATGGTTATTTATGATTTATTAAAATACCAGGGTATTATATTTATTTGTACAGCTAGTCTTTGTATTAAGAGCATAATGAAGCCTGGTCATAAAGCTTTTATAGCTTTTCTGTGAAGGTTGTAAAGCAACCACTGCAATCATTAAGCAAACCCATGGTTCACTATCAACCAGTTTTGTAGAAAACTGGAAGTAAATTTGATCACATGAAGTGGGGCGCTGCAAATGGCCGTAAATGTGGCCCAGCTACCAAGCACTCAAAGTAGGGTATGTGAACGTGCAACAATCTCCCCTAATCATTGGAACTTAAAATTCAGGTTTAGATACCCCTCAGAAAAGTCTGTGTAACTCTGGCCAATCACTAAATGACTGATCGTAAGTCAAGGATTACCTATACATCATAACATCTATATCAACTGATTTTGTGAAAATTCAAGAAACTAAGCATAAATCCTATTTAAAACATGCATGCTTTACCAAAGTCATTTTCTTGAAGTATGCTGATGTTTCCCACTTCTTCTCGCATTGTAATTTCTTCCACTCTGCTTTGGTTCAAACTGAATTGTTGAGCCACATCGATATCACTTTCAAAAGACATAAAGTTTTTTAATTAGAAACTATTCTAGAAGACAACCAGATATTAATCTTCAGTTAAATAAAGTCACTTTAGTAAATCAATGAAACAAGTAATACTTTTCCGGCAGGCCTTCTGATTGGGTGTTTTGTTTTCTTTCTTTTTAACTTCGTGTGTCCTATTGTTTTTAAGTCTTTTTCTTTTTAATTTCTTTTTATTCTGTAAGCCACCCGGAGTCCTTCGGGATTGGGCGGCATAGAAATCAAATAAACTAAACTCAACTCAATACTGCTTAATATTTTAAAATCCACACAGATTACAAAACTCAAAATGTTATTTATCATACAGGTGTGTTATTACATCATATCTTTCAAAAGAGTAGAAACAACCTTTTTTATAACCAGTAGAATGGAAATTCCTTCCCTGTTTGTTTTCTCCTCCAATACAGCAATAATAGGGATATAAGTAATCTACAAATATCTCAATAATTATCTTACAATCAGAAAACAAGTGCTTACTCTAAATCTGGCAATGGTTGATCAAAATCATGAAATTCTTCAGGCAAAGTGATAGCGTTGTAAGCAGCTTCTCTATTTTCCTCAGGCAAATCAACCACACCTAAAAAAAAATTATACGCTCTTAAGGTGACATTTTTAAAGAAAATATCTTGGCATATTTTCGCAGACAATAAACTATTCAACAAAGTAGAATAGGATTCAGTCATTATACACAGACTGTTCTTGGTAATAAAACTGATTTTAAAGATTACAAATGGAACACCCTGACTTTACATGGCAATATTAACCTGGATTCAAAGAAACCATGGAAGCACAAGTATTCCAAAATAATTGTCAAGGCCCAGTTAAATCCAATCATACTACAAGTCATTATAACAGTCAGAATAATCTAGGGGAAAAACACATGGTACATATTCTATTATATTTAAAAGATTGTAATCTAAAGTAAATTGTACTGTTCATGAACTAGTAACAGCTAAATAAAAACAAATATGCATCAAATACCTGGACGGAAAGCCATCTTAATCTTAATGAATGCCTCATTACAATCTGCAAGGAGGTATTTAGCTTTCCTGTGATAGATTCTAACAACTCCCAATAAAAGGTGTCCTGAAGTTCGAAGTGCCATCTTCACCTGAAAAATCATTTATAATTAATTTTAATTAAGAAACAAATAGAAAGGCAATTCCTTAAACGCTCACATCCTATTTAAAGTTTTAAATTAAAACACATAATTTATTTTATTGCCATTCAGTTTATCAAATAAGGAGCACTTTGCAATGTCAAACATATTGTACTATCAAACCTATGAAATGACTTAAAAATTAAATGATTTATGGTCATTTGAAATGTTATCTTAGTTATCTTAGTCTATCAATATTATTTTGTCTTTCTTTTTCATATACAATTCAAAGAGGCCAGTATTGCTAATATTCCTGCCTATTCTACCCACAAAAAACACCTGGGAGAGACAGGGACCAGCCCACAGTCATCCTGCCAGCTTTCATGTCCAAGGGACACCTAGAACTCTCTCTTGGTTGCTAGGTCAGCACCTTAACCACTATGGTAAACCAGCTTTCTAAATATAAATATATTTAAATATTTAAAGAGCTTCCCATCTCTTTAAATCATTTAAATATATCATTGACTCTGGGCAGCATCAGTTTAAAACCACCATAGTAGTATATACCCCAGGATGATTTTCAGTCAAGATTCAAGCCTGGTCATAGCACAGAGACTGTACTGACCATGTTTTTGGTGAACTTTGGCAAGCATTTTTATATAATACTTATGCAAATTTACTGGTTGTTTCAGAAACTTTTAACCGATGCAAATAAATCAATACTTGTAATCTGCTTCACAGAAAAATAAAGTTAAACAAAACTGCATCAAATAAAAAGTTAAGAAAACTTTATGTGGGTGGTGGGGAGGGAAGACGGGTGGTCTCTTTTTCTTGCTTTCTTGCTTATTAATTTTAGTGTAGTCTAAAAGTACAAACTTTAGATAATCAGCCCAATCATTTACTGAAGACTTCAGAAAATAATAAGATGACTTATAATAACTACTATTAAAGAAGTCAGTTTCTACTATTCTAGAACATGCTTTATTTAGTGCAAATTGTTAACACCATATGTTATACAATATGGAGCTTTATTCTCAGAGTCTAAATATAAAACAAACTTTTTTATTAAAAAAAAAGCAATGATAAAAAAAAATTAAAAGCAAAACAAGTTCCAGTGTCCTGCTTTAAGTATGTTTGTTAAATTCTGCATGGGAAAACAGAACTAACCACGGTAACTAAATGGTACTCATTGTAGGTGCAATGCAATTTCTCAATGTAGGAAGGAGATAAATAGGAATAAGCTCTCTCATTCATATCTTAGTCCAAACACTCAGATATAGCCATTTGTTTACAATACCAAACTAAACCCTGGATTTATATATTGATAATACTAACAAAATAATTCAGTAATGGCCCATTTGGATAAATCTCTGCTTTTATACCAATTTTTCATATACCACAAAATATAATCATAAAAATAATACCTTAGGTGAGATGATGCTCTCTACGCTACTTTCCAAATTGCATTCAAACACATGTGCTTTGGTTAGTTTTTTATCCCAATGGGCCGCCAGCCATATTTTAGCTAGCGGCCCTCGTTTGCTCAGGACAAAGTGAGCATAAAACATTGTGCCAACACTCTATGCAGGACCTGTAGGAAAAAAAAGATGTGTTAAACATAATGTCACAGAGATACACAGTAATTCCAGTAAAATAGTGTATACATAATATAAAGGTAAAGGTTCCNCAGGAGTTTTCTCCAGCACCATAGTTCAAAGGCCTCAATTCTTTGGCGCTCAGCCTTCCTTATGGTCCAACTTTCACAGCCATACATTGCAAATGGGAAAACCATAGCCTTCACTATACACACTTTTGTTGGCAGTCTCTGCTTTTTAGTATGCTGCATTATACTTTTTTGTTCAGCAATGTATCTATATTTAAAATACATTCTTTTACTCACAGGGAGCACAGGTTCTGGTTCCAATTGTACAGCCTTTCGCTTTACACCTGTCTGAGGTGGAGGTGGTGGCATGACCGATTCATCTAAATTGGTCCTACTGCCTTCCATCATAGATTCCTGCAGGCGACTCGGCTCTTCTAAAATGGGTTCATCTATTGCAAAATAAACATGGACAAGTTAGTATTTTTCTCAATGTTGACAGTCCTTTCTATTCTTTACGAAATAACAAATTCTTCTTTAAACCCAGAAGGTAGTAATGCACATGAAGCAAATATACATTTTGCACATTAAGTTGCACAGCTTTTTAAACGCATTTACTGAACAGTCAAAAACCAAGCTATTAAAGACACAAACCAATAACATTGCGTTGTTGCTCTTCTCGAGGTACTTCTGGATTCTCAAAATCTTTAAGGAACTCATCCAGATTATCAGCTTCCCCACCTTTCCTCCTCTTTCTAAGATCTTCTGGTACAAGAGGTGTAAGACAGCGAGTAAAAAGCTTCAAATTAAAAAAAAAATAGATTATGTTTTTAGTTTACACTGCTTCATTATCTAGTTCAGACAGTTCAAGGTTAGTCTAGCATCAGACTGTGTCTATCTACAAAATAGATAGTATAGTAGGCTCATATGTACCAACTATGAAGTTAATTACTATAAATTGATTAAAGATGCCGCACTTTAGGGACCTTAGGAGCACTGAGGTTTGGAATAGCTTTTTATTAGCTGTGCTAGTCTTTTGGTATGGCATTCCAGGAAGCACCCAACTGACACTTAGGAGAACATTTCAGCCTTCAACCTAGTTTGAGTATAGTTCAGTCTAATTAATTTTATTCTGTGTTTTCATTAATTTATGGATTTTTCATTTCTATCCCTTTGTTTATATTTTGTTGTATATATTGCTTACCTCTCTCTTTCATCTAAACTGGTAACAGTCCAAAGAGATTTCACATTCTATACATGTGAAGGACAATGCCTCATTTGCACAATTTATTAGAAAATGTAATAGTTTCTGACAGCCTGTCCTAAACTGATGCAGTCCAAACCTTCTTATATTCTTGGGGGAGTTCTAGGAGTTACTGTTTTGACATATCTTAGGTGACTGAACTGGTAAAGGATGGTTTAAGATTTACAATAACTATTCATCATAAATTTTCCAAAATTTAGTTCAACTCACCTTCAGCAGCCTGTTATTCCAAAGAGGTTGAGCAGGAAGAGAGAAAAGTTTTTCAACACCTCCAGTCTCTTTCCACATCATTAATTTCTTAGTAGGAGGTGCCAAATCCAGTGTGGTGACAATGTCAGAATAATCACTTAATTGGGCTCTGATGGTCTTGCTGTCCAATTCTTTCACACTGTCTACAATCAGCTTTCTCTTCCTCTTTGCTTTGGTTTCTTTAACTATTTAGGAGAAAATGTATTAGACACTGGATATTACAACAATGTGCCTATTGATAATTAAATTACAGTATTATTTTAGTTTATTTTACAAGGAACACTTTCAAAATCTGTTTAAAATATTTTTACTTAAGAATGATTGTGTTATAATATTCAGAAAAGAATATACTGCCACAATTATGGTAACATGAGATATTTGTTAGAAGCTTCAGTGAACCCAGTAAAAAACTACACGCTCAAACTGTTTTTCAATTTATTTTTTCTTACTAAAATTATATATAAAAAAATCTAGAACTACATCCTTGGGAATGAGAATAGATGCTTATAGTTAGTGATGACGAACCTTTTCAGCACCGAGTGCCCAAACCAGAACATGCGTGCATACACGCCAGAGCACCGGAAACCGGAAGACCAGTTAGTCACACGTACTTGTTTCTTGACTATTTTGGCTATGATTTCCTGTATATTGGGCACTGTCAGGGAAGGCCTTGGCAGATCTGGATGGAGCCCCGCAGCTGTTGGGGTAAACGTGGCCTCCACAGGTCTGCGGTTCCAAACT